GGGCTGAGTCCTGCTGAGTTCACAGGAGTACCTGCTTCCCAGCACCAAGCCTTGGGGTCTCCAGCCCGCCTGTGGAGCCCACCCTGAGCTCATGGCCCATCCCCAGGGAGGTGCCACCCTGCCCTCCCCCCCGTGCCAAGCCAGGATGGGCACAGCTGTGCTCCCCCACCTACCTGGCAGCACCAGCGCAGGTAGAGGCTCCGCAGGGACGACATGGTGGACAGGTAGCTGAGGCCGGTGTCGGTGATCCGCACGCACCTGCCGGGGACAGGGGCGTCAGGGCTGGCCGGGAGTGGGGCACCCGGGGGTGTCCCCAAACCATGGCCCCCATGCTGCACCTTCTGCTTCCAGCGCAGCTCAGCGCAGCATGGCTTGGCATGGCATGGTTTGTCATGGTGTGACATGGCACAGCGTGGCTCAGCATGGCATGGCACAGCACGGCATGGCACAGCGCGATGGGGCAGGGCTTGGCATGGCATGGCATGGCTTGACATGGCATGGAACGGCATGGCATGTCTCATCGTGGCTCAGCATGACATGGCATGGCTTGGCATGGCACGGCACAGCTCAACACAGTTCTGCACGTCCCTGTACCTGTCGAGCACCAGCTCCTCCAGCTTGTGCAGGTCGCAGGCGATGTACTCCAGGGCCATGTCGGTGATACGAGGGCACCAGGAGAGGTCGAGGCTGCGCAGCTTCCGCAGGTTCTCGGCCACCAACTCCACCCCGTCATCCGTCACCTTGGAGCAGCCCGAGAGGCTGAGGACGCTCAGGTTGGGCAGGCTGTGCACCATGTTGACCACGCCGTGGTTGGTGATCTCCCAGCAGGAGTTGAGGCGCAGGGTGTGGGTGGTGTAGCCCTGCTTGGCGGTGAAGTAGGCGAGCGCCGTGTCCGTCACGTGGTAGGCCTGCAGGTTGAGCTCGGTGAGGTTGGGCAGGAGCTGCGAGATGGCGGCGATGGCGTCGTCGGCCACGTTGATGCAGTCGCTGACACTCAGGGCCGTGATCCGGGCGTTTAGGCTGGACCACAGCCCCGCCTCCGTGAAGTCGTTGCAGCCCGACAGCTCCAGCCGCACCACGCCCTGCATCTGCTCCAGCATCACCTGCCGAGGGCCGGGGGGTCAGGGCATGGTGGGCACCACCCCGTGCTCTGTGCAGCCCTGCCCCGCATCCCTCTGAGCCCCCTGTGGCCCTGCTCCCAGTCCTGCCTGGGTGCAGCCTTCTCCCTGGGACCTCCCTGGTGTGGGACACACCAGCATTGGTGGGGAATGGGAGGGGACAGGCAGGGACTCCCAGATGCAGCCCCAGTGCTGTGCCAGGTGCTGTTGGCAGAGTCAGGATTGATGCCTGCTCCCAACACAGGAACTGCTCAGGTAATTTGTGCCCACGGAGCAGCTGATGCTGTGTTTGGCCATGGTGCAAGGCACCTCAGTGGGGACCTTGCCAGGCCCTGTGCAGGACCATGAGTTGCCCCATCTCCGTCTGACCCTCAGCCCCTTGCTTGGATGATGCCCCCTTGTTGGGGAGCAGCCAGCCAAGTGGGAATGTCCCCATCCCCTGAGTCCTGCTTGTCACCCACCACCATATCCACTGCCAGCAGCACCTTGCCTGGCTCTGCCTTCCTGGCAACATCCATGGGCAGCAGGGATGAACCCCCTCTGGCAGCATCCTGACTCTCTGCCTGCACCCATCGCACTGCCCAGAGCACAGGCAGGGGCTCCCAGTGCTGCCCACACCTGTGGGATGGCCATGCCACCTGCCTGCCCCTTCCCTGTGACCAGAGAAAGCTCTGCCCACGTGTGTGTCCCCAGGCCCACTAGGAATGACCCACCATCGCCACATCTGAGCCACCCCGGTCACCTCACCAGGGTCACCTACCTCCAACCCCGCATCTGTGATGGTCGACCTCTTAAGGCTCATGGACTTGACTCCCTTCTTGGAGAGGGGGTAGTTGTCAATGAACTCACAAATGTCCAGGTCAGAGACGCCCACGAGGCAGAAGCCATCAAAGCCGCGGACGGCGAAGCCCTGTAGGCTGACAAACTCCTTCTCCCCGCCAGGCAGGATGTTGTAGAGCTCTTTGGTGTGCAGGACGGGTGTCAAGCCCACCCAGAACTTGGGCTGGTAAAGCACCCGCCGCCACGCCTTGCACACCTGTGCCAGCACACACTTCTCACACGCCGAAAAGTACCAGAACAGGCGGTTGAGGATCTTCTCGTCCACCGCCAGCTGCCTCTCCGAGGGTGAGCCCGGCAGCCGCTCCGGCGAGGGCTGCTCCGAGCCCTCGCTCGCGTTCAGTCCCACCAAGGAAGCGCCGGGAGGGGAGGACACGCTGGCCAGAGCAGCCAAGGAGAGTGGGGAGGCCAGGCTGGGGATGGGCAGGTCGCTGCGGTGGGCTAAGGCCGGGCTGAGGATGGCAGGCACGGAGGAAGGCTGGCACAGGCGGTTTTTCATGGCAGGGGTGCCTTTGGTGATGCTGGCGGAGCCGAGGCCGTTGGGTTGCGTGGGGATCTTCACCAGTCCATTGCGGGGCAAACATGGGGGCTTGGTGTCGCCGTTTCTCGGGTTCGACATCTTCCACAGGTCTCTCTGTAACACAGGGATGTGGGATGAGGGGCTGCCGGTCTGGCAGGGAGGGGGGACGGGGCGGGGGGATGTGTCAGCACAGGCAGGCAGGGAGATCCCAGGAGTCCCTGTGCAGGGAGCAGGGTGGCACATGGGAGCGGGAAATGCAGGGAGGGTGGGCACAGCCACAGAGGGCCATGGCCGGGGCACAGAGCAGGATCCTCCCAGAGGATGCATGGCCATGGCATCCCCCATGATGAGGGACAGATGGGGATTTGTCCCTGGATGTTCACATCCCTCTCTGAGCTGGAATCCAGCCATCAGTGGGGGCTGGAGCAGGAACCACAGACTGGTTTGGGTTGGAAGGCACCTCAAAGTTCATCTCATTCCAGCCCCCTGCCATGGGCAGGGACACCTTCCACTAGCCCAGGTTGCTCCAAGCCCCGTCCAACCTGGCCTTGGACACTTCCAGGAATGGGACAGCCACAGCTTCTCTGGGCAACCTCTGCCAGGTCCTCACTGCTCTCACAGGGAGGAATTTCTCCCCAGTATTCCATCTAACCCTGCCCTGTGGCAGTGGGAAGCCACTGCCCCTTGTCCTGTCCCTCCAGGCCCTTGTCCCAAGTCCCTCTCCAGCTCTCCTGGAGCCCCTTTAGGCCCTGGAAGGGGCTCTCAGGTCTCCCCAGGGTCTTCTCTTCTCCAGGTGAACACTCCCAGCTCTCCCAGCCTGGCTCCAGAGCAGAGGGGCTCCAGCCCTTGGAGCATTTTTGTGGAGGGGGGATGAGGCAGTGGTGTTGGAGCAGAGCTACCTGTGAGCCCGTGCCAGGCAGGAGCCTCTCAGCAGCCGGGCAGCACCAGCAAACCAGGCAATAAATATTGCAGTGGCAGCAGGGCCGGCTTTCCACGGCCCCGCCGCACCCGCCATCCATTATTCAACACGTTTCCCTCTATAAATACAGAGGTGAATAATTGATGGGGCTCAGCCCCTTCCCCCTGCCCCAGCTGGTGCCTGGTGTGGGGCCCTGCTGGAGTGCTCCTGTCCTGTTTGCCAGTGCTGTGCCAAACCCTGTGACAGCGCTGGCTCCCGGCAGCCCCTGGGGACACGATGAGGAGCTGGAGTACAGGAAAGGGCTTTCAGTGCATGGATCAGGGGACAGGGACATGGCCCTGAAGCCCCGAGGGATGCCTGGCACGTCCATCCATCAGTATCTGATGGAACCTGAGGACCCTCTTCATTGCCAGCTCCCCCCGGACCCACGATAAAATCAAGGGAATTATTTTAGCTGCTTTATTTGTGATGAAGACGACCAGGGCCCGATGAAGGAGCACCAAGGGAGGAGCATCCTGCCTGGTAACGCTCCTGGTCAAGCTCTGTGGGCTCTGAGGATGCTCCATGCAGCCTAGGGGAGGTGGCTATTGAGAGGGATGCAGCCCAGATCCCCTGCTGCCCCCAGCCCATTGCTTTCACCCTCACAGCATCCCTGGCCTCATCCAGCTCCCCTGGAGCAAGCAAGGAGGGAGCAGCCATGCAAAAAGGAGCTCAGGAGCGCAGGCAGCTGCCAGTGGCACAGCTGGCAAACCCCGTGGGATGCACAGCACGTGGCATCTCCTGAGGACACTGTTCCCAGCACAGCCGTGGGACGGGGCTGGTGGGAGCTGCTGAAGCCTCTTCCATGGTGTGGAGGTGCCAGCAGACAGCCCGGCTCAGTGGCAGTGGCCTGGAGAGATCCCAGCCTCCAGGGATGAGCCCAGCCCTGTGCAGACAGTCTGGTGCCACTCCCGGCTCCGATGCAGCTGCTGCTGCCTCCACTCCCGCTGCCCGAGAGCAGAGCTGGGCCTCTGGTGCTTGGACATGTGTTAAATTTGCTTGAAAGCAGGAGAAGAGGAGGGTGAAGAAGGAAGAAACTTAAAACCAGAGGCTGGGTTCTTGGCAGCAATTGGGGAAGCAAGCAGAACGTGCACCAGGGTGTCTCACACAGCACAAGTCCAAGCAGATAATTACTGGGTGGCACAGAAAAGCTGTTGATCCAGCACAGAGCCCACAGCCAGAGCCAGTCAGCACGCTGGTTGTCTCCAGGGAGAGGGCAGGTGGTGACAGAGGGGCAGCCTGGGGCCTTGGGAGCCCAAGGGGACAGTCCCAGCAGGAGACAGATGCTGACAAGTCTCCGGACTGAACTGCAGCCAGCAGGAGGTTTTGGAAACGGATACAACCAGCTCAGACCTGGACTGGTCCCCGAGGCCACGCCCAGGGGGGGCTCAGTGGATTCAGCAGCTTTCCCTGCCCTGCCTTGGAAAGATGAGCCAGGTCCCCACTGCCCCAGGCGCTGAGGCTGCCTGTCTGGAGCACAGAAATCCTGAACCTTGAATGAGCTGGGAAGCCACTTCAAATAGAAAGATGGCCAGAAATTCAGGCCCCTGGGTACAGGCAGATCCAGGCAGTGGTGGCGGGAGGCTGGGCAGGCATTTCTTTCTGGGAAAATGGGCAGGCAAAGATTTGGGTGTTCCTACCATCCCCAGGAGCAGGACTGTGCTTGGGCAAAGACCCAGTGTGGGGAAGGTGGGCTGGGGCCACACACTGGGGGGAGGAGTGGGTCCAATAACTGTTCTCTCCTCTGTCTCTGGCAGCACTGGGATCTGCCCTCCCTTGCTGCAGGAAAGCCCCTGTCTGCAGCCAAGTAGCCCCCCAGGCTTCTGCACCCCAGGGCTGAGGCCACATTCCTCCAATCTAGAAAATGCTATTCCCACATCCCATGGAGATTCCAACTGCTGTGTGCTGGGACACCTCTGTCCTGCCCCAGGCCCTCCCAACCCACCGAGACAGCGGATGGACAGGGACACACAAATCTGTCTGCCTTGGAAGTGTCAGTACAGATGGTCTCTGATGTTCCAGCAGCTCCATGAGCACCTCCATATGCTTTTTGACCACCTCAAAGCAGGAGGAGAGCAGAGATTTGGCCTTGTCTCCCTGACATCTCACAGTTTGCAGACTGTGTGACTGGGCCAACCATCATCCCCAGGATTGTTCAGCACTTGGTACAACCATCCTTGCTGAGAACTCACAGGAACAGCTCAGATTTGCAACCCCATAGACAAGCCCCCTTTTCTCCCACAGGCTCATGGGGAAGTGTCTTCCAGCAGTGGAGTGGCAGCTCCCAATCCCCAGTGGGAGAAAACCTGACAAAAGCAAAGGTCAAAGTCCTTCAGTTCCCAAATCCACTCCAGGGTGCACATTTCACAGGAGACGTCACTGCCAGAGAAGTCACTTCATTCAGGAAGGTTTTGTCACCCACAACAAGTGATGATGCAGTGCTGGGGGGCGGATTTGACGCAGGAAGAGAGAAGAAAACGGGGCTCTAAGAGCCTGTCATCACAAACATTGCACAGACAATGAGGATGCTGGGATGAACAGGACGGAAGCTGCCAGGAAGACAGAGCTTGTCCAAGCTGTTGGAGAGTTTACCAACAGCTGGTAGTGAGGAGGGATGAGGGCCTCGGGAAGGGCAGGATGATCAGTCACCCTGTTAGTGCTGCCCTGAGTGGTGTTGCCTGGGAGATCCCAGGCTCCTGGATCAGACAGCTGTGGTCAGGCTCGGGGGCGAGCTCTGGGGCAGCCGGGGTCGGAGAGGCCACGAGGCACCCCGGACTGGCCGGCGAGGAGCCGCCGGGAGCCCAGCCCCGCTGCGGTCAGCACGGCGGAGAGGAGCTAGTCCCGGCAGCACCGCGGACAGCGGCGGCCCCGGGCAGCACCGTGGACAGCGGCCGAGCCCGCCGGCCCCGCGCCGCCGCACCCCGCAAGGGAGCCCGCAAACGTGCCCCTGCACGACCCCCCCTCAGCCGTCCCTGTGAGGGTATTGCCCTGCCAGGTCCCTGTGAGCATCCGCTATCACCCTGCCAGGGCCCTGCGAGGATCCACCATTGCCTCACCGGGTCCTTGTCAGAGATCCCACTATTGTCCTGCCAGGTCCCTGTGAGAATCTACCACTGCCCTGTCAGGTACTTGTAAGAGATCCTGCTATGACCCCCCCCAGGACCCTGTGAAAACCCGCTATTGCCCTGCCAGGTCCTTGTAACAGATCTTGCTATCACCCTGCCAGGACACTGTGAGGATCCACTATCGCCCTGCCAGGTCCTTGGAAGAGAACCTACTATCACCCCACCAGGTCCCTGAGAGGATCTACTGTTGCCCTGACAATTCCCTGTGGGGACTCACTGTTGCCCCACCTGCTCCCCGTGAGACCCTCCTATCACCCTGCCAGGTCCCTGCAGCCCCCACTCCTGCCTCCCCAGCCTGCCCTGCCCCCCTGTTATTGCCCTGCCAGGATCCAAAGCTGCTGTGAAGTGATTTCTGAGGAGCCCCCTCTCCAGCGGCAGAGCTGCAGGGCAGTGAGGAGCCATCGGCCCTGGCTGCCTGCACACACACACACACACACACACACACACACAGGGACACATAAATGCACACACGGACACACACGGAAATGCACAGGAGCCTCAGGAGTGGGTGGATGCCCCTGCACAGGTCATGGTGCTCACAAACACACACACACACACAAACACAAACACACAAACACAGATAGAGACACAGACACACACACACAGGTACAACCATCCTTGCACACAAACACACACACACACAGACAGACATGCACACAAACACACGGACACAGACACAAACACACACAAACAGATAGACACACACAAACACACACACACACACACAAACACACGCGGAGGTACAACCATCCTTCCACACAAACACACAAACACACAAACACACACACACACACACGCACAGCCGGAGCCGCCGCGTGCACGCGCACACAGGGTTGCATCAGCTGAATTCATTAGCCCGTCTATTTTTACTAATGCAGCAAATCAAGTTGCTCTACAGGCGGAGAAAACACACCCGAGACAGAGAGCCGTGGCGGAGCACGAAGCCAAGGGCTTTTGTCCAGCACTCCTGAGGGGATGGATCAGCTTCCCGAGACTCCCCCAGCTCCACGGGATGTCCCTGACCAGAAGCAATGCCAGGCAGCTCTTGCCTGGGGGGCTGAACCTGCCGACCGGAGCACATGGCAGTAATAAAGACATCCCGCTGCAAAGCCGTCCCTGCACGGCACCGCTCCCTGCTGTGCTGCTGCCTCCTGCTCTGATCCCATCGGGGCACAACACTGCCCGTGCCGTGAGGGGGGGTGCAGGACCCCAAACCTCTGAAACCAAGACCCCTCGGAGGGCTGGCATCACCCCGGAAGTGCAGAGGAGCCCCTAGAGACCCTGGCTGAGCCCCTGGCTGCCCCAGAGGTGGAGGAGCAGTGGGTGTGTTTGGGTAGGGGGATGCTGTACCTGTGGAGGGGAGGGGGGGTGCGTGCACAGGTGAGTCTGTGCTCCCGGGCTCAGCACTCACACAAGTGAGCTGGAAGAGAGGCTCAGAGCACAGCTCCAAACTCAGTGCTACCTCTTCCTTGATGCACAAGCCAGGAATTCATGGTAGGGAAGGGCCTCATCACTCTACCCGGCCCCAAAGACTTGCTGTTTGTGTGATGGGAGCTGGGAAACTCCCTCCTGAGATGGCCCTGAGAGCTCCTCGGGAGACCAGAGGGCTGAGAGCAGCTTTCCTGCTCCCTTGTTGGCTTCCAACGATGCCAAAGAGCTCATCCCACCTTGCAGCAGACAAAGAGGCTCAAGAGGGGCTGGAAAACACCTGGTTTGAGTCCCATTGCTGGCAGCTGCTGCCCTCAGTGCTGGGCGTGCTGATGAATCCATCTCTGAGTCTCAGGCAGCTTGTGGCCAAGCAGCAGAGCTGTCACGATGGGGACCCCCCCAGCACTGCTCTCTCCCAGGTCCCACAGCCTTCCCAAATGGCAAAACCCCCAGAGAAAGGTCAGGCTCTGCAGGGCCAGCCCCATGCCCAGGGAGCTGGGAAAAGCTGGCTGAGGTGCCAGAGCCAAGCTCTGCTCAGGTCCCCACCACTTTGTGCTTCACTGAGGGAATGGCTCCGCTCCAGGAGCACTGAGAGATGCAGCTCCTGTCTCCCCCAGCCCCCAGCACGGGGGAATTGTAGGGAGGAGGCAGAGCTCCAGCCTCCCAGCCCAGCCAAGCAAAACTTCCTTGCAACAGGCAGCAGGGTCCCCTCCGGTCACAGTATCTGTCTTCTCTGGTAAGACCCAAATCTCTCAAAGACATCAAGTTCTCTTTCCTTATTCCAGGCAGCCCAATGTCCCTTTGGGAGGAACCCCCCACACAAAAAAGCACAGGATGGACAGACCAGGGCAGAGCTGAATCCCGGGGCCCTTCCCTCCAGCCACCTCCAAAGATCCCTGTGCTCACCACCATGGGAGGATGCTCGTGCCTCAGCCAAGCTTCTCCCTGCTCCCCACTGACCTCATGTGCCAGATCCTGCCCAGCCTGGCCTCCACTCACTGCAAACCCAGCCAGAGCCCAGCAAGAGAACTCAGCATGTCACAGCCCTTCTCTCTGCCCCTCCTGGGCCCAGGAAGGGGTTTACAAAAATGCAAGATCCCACGAGGAGAGAGGAGACAGGAGAGCCCGGCCCAAGGCTGTCCCCGAGCCCCCTGGTCCCCAGGACATGGATGTGCTCCCCGGGTGCTGATGGGACTCGAGCCCCTCCAAACCTCTCCATCCCCCCAGACATGGCCATGGCCATGCAAGCAGCGGTGTCCCTTTGCTGCTGGGCTTGGGGGTCCAGCCAGGAGCTGGGGCTGGGTTGAGGTGGGGGCCACTGGCACCAGGCTGGTAGGACACTGGGGAAGGCAGACAGTGTTCAGCCACAGCACTCCTCGCTGCAGGGGGCTGTGGGTGTTAAATGCCAGCACAGGCTCCAAAAAGCCGTTAGATGACTCCAGAAAGCAAAGGCACTGATCCTGCTCCCCGTGCAGCCCCCCAGCCTTCTGCTTGCTGAATCCAGGAGCTGGGCACAGGTCACACATCCAGCAGGGAGAAACCCTGGAGAAATGGCTTCTGTTGAACTGCCCCCTCCCCAAACACTCTCCCCTTCAGCCCCGAGCTCCTCCTCAGAACCCCCAGCCCTGGAGCCCCCAGCACACATGGCTGGGCCCCGTGGCACGTGGGCAGAGGTTGGGTGGGGGTGGGATCCTGCCAAAGGAGCTCCACTCGCCCGCGCACCCCATCCTGCTCCCTCCCACACCATCGGCACCCACTCGCCTCCCAGATCCCCTTTCTCCTCTCTGGGTGCTGCTCCATCCTCACAGACACAGGTGGGGAGCAAGAGGCTGTGGTTTGGGCATGGGGAAACTGAGGTACAGGCAGGACGATGTGGTTTTGCCATGGAGTTGCCAGAGCCTGAGCCAGGCACAGATTAAATCTCCAGAGTAGGAGGACAAGATGCAGCCCCCAAACTCCAAGTGCTCCGTTTTCAGTTCCCTTCTACCTGGAGCACAACCATATTCCCACGGGATAGTCAACACTGTCCTCTCCACTGGAGAGGGCAAGGGCACCCTTTCCCCCTCTGGCCTTACCCCAGCCCAAGTAAGGGTCACTCCTTCTCCGGGAGCAGGATTTGGGGAGACAAGAGGGTCCCAGTGCTGTGGATGTTTGTCCTGCTGCTCCCCACTGCCATGGAGCCACTGGCATGGGCAGGAGAGCAGGCAAAGGGATCGATGTGGGGGAAGCCAGCTCGGGGAAAAATAGATATCTATCTCATTAAAAATGGATGCTCAAGCGAGTCCTCCCCACTCCAAAGCCACCTCCCTCCCTCTTCCTGGTAGCCAGAGTGAAATCAGCACCCAGCTTCCAGAGGAGGGAAGATGCCAGCACGGCATGGCGCTGCCTCTGTGCCCACTGCTCCCACCCCGCTGCTGCTGAGACCCTCTGGGTGCTGCAGGGGGGGTCTGGGACCCCCAGCACTTCGGGCAGAGGGTAATTATGGAGCAGGACCTCTAACAGGAGCATCTCTGCTGCAGGGACTGCCACACTCTGGCCTTCACTGCCCAGGCACTGCCACATCCCACCAGTGGCATTGCATGCCCCAAAGGCAGTGCTGCTTCAGCCCAGTGCCCCATGGCACCCCTGGGCCCCCACATGGTCAAGATCTTGGGGGTCTCTGTTTGATTTCTGCCAGAACCCCGTGCCTCAGTTTCCCCCATCCATGTCCAGCCCCCCCCCCCATTCCATGGGGTTCAGCCTGCCCACCTGGCCCCTGCACAGACCCCTCCACCCATTCCCACCCCCTGCCCCACCAAAACAAACTCCTCATCCCCATCCCGGACTGCTTGGGGGTCCCTGACCCCACACTGGGCTCTCTGGGACCCCGCTGTGGGGCTAAGCCCCCTCAGCCCCATCCCAGCAAGGGTCTTCCCTTCCTCCATCCCCTGAGCTCTGAGATGGGGTGGCTGCCCCTCTGCCCCCATCTCTGGCAGGTGCCACCCTGCACCCAATGAAAGCCACGCCGAGGTGTTGGGGTGCTGGGGGGTTTGGTTACAGCCCCAGAGATGCCAGAGGTGCCACCAGGGAGGACGAGGGGCATTTTGGAAGTTGGCAGCAGAGGTGGAGGGGGGCAAACATCAACCCCACATCCGGGTGACCCTGTCCCTATGGCGACGTCCCTTTGCACCCTCATCCCAAAACATCCCTGCATCCCGCGGTACCCACCTGACCCCCCCTCCCCGCCGTTACCCACCCGGTGCTGCCCGGCCATGCCGGGGGGGACACAACACACCACCTTCCCCCCCCAGCACGCCCACACTCCCCAAACCGGGGGGGGGGGAGCACCAGGAGGGGGTCACACCGATCACCATCCTCTGGTGAGCTACCGGGAGGCGGGGGCGGAGGGGGGGCCACCGGACCGGGAGCCCCGGGGCCGGGCCGGCTCCGCCGCCGTTATATAACGCGGCTCCATGATGCGGGATGCGGCTGGGGGTGGTTGCGGTGCCGGTGCCGGGATTGGTGCTGGTACCGGTGGAACAGGCACCGACACCGACACCGGCATCGGCACCAACGCCGGCACCGGCTTTGTATTGTCAAGGGTTTTCCCGAGCGGCTCTTACCTCCAGCCCCGTCTCCCGAAGCTCATGCCATGCCTTGTGCCCGTCTTCTCTCGGTCGCAGAAAAAAAACCCACCAGGAAGAAAACCGGGAATAATCCCCCCAAAAATCCCCGTTGGCAAAGGGGCCGGATCCCGCCCGGCCCCCGCCCCAACCCCGCGAAACAACAGGAAAAATAAGCGGGGAGTGGAGGGGGGGAATGGGGCCGGATCCGGATCCGGGGGGATGGAGAAGGGGGGTCCCTCCTGCCAGCCAGCCCAGGGAGCTGGGAGCACACGCACACGCGCGTTTGCACACACGCACACGCGTGTCACCAGCGGAGCCTGTTAAAGAGACACGGTCGCCCGTAGCGATAATGGATCGCGATGGGATCGCGCTGGCACCGGGAGAGGCGAGGTGAGGGTGCGGGACACAGGGAATGATGTGGGGGGTGCGGGCAGGGCTGGGCTGGCAGCTGGGTGTGCAGGGAGAGAGGGGTGGTGGGTGGGGGAATGCAGGGGTGGAAGGATGGGGGATGGAGGGAGGGACGGGGGGATGGAAAGATGGAGGGGGGATGGAGGGATGGAGGGGTGGAAGGATGGAGGGAGGGATGGAGAAATGGGGGGAAGAATGGAGAGGTGCAGGGAGGGCCGTGGGGAGAAATGAAGGCAGGGATGAAAGGACAGATGGAAACATGGAGGGATGGAGGGAAGAATGGAGAGATGGGGATGAAGGAGTTGGAGAGGATGGAGGGATGGAGAAATGGAGGGAAGAGTGGTGAGATGAAGGGATAGAAAGGTGTAAGGATGGAGGGGTGGAGAATGGAGGATGGAGGGATGGAGAAATGGAGAGAAGAATGGTGAGATGGAGGGATGGAGGAAGAAATGGAGGGATGGAGGGATGGAGGGATGGATGGACAGATGGATGCTTGCTCTGGCTCTCTCCCTTCCAGGGCACTGGCAGGCTGGAGATTCTGGTGCAGATCCTGCTGCAGATCCTGCTGCAGACCCCTCTCACCCCGACAGGCAGCTGAGGCTCTGCTGGCAGTCCCTGGGGCACAGCGACGATGCTCGACCCAGCTCCAGCACCCTGGGGTGCAGCAGGCTCCCAGGACAGGGTGCTGTGCCCAGATGCTGGGGAGATTCACCTACTCAAGCCATGTCTGGCAGTGGGACCTGCTGGGGGCTGTGCCACTGCTGCCCCTCATTTCCCATCACCCCCACTCAGCACCCGCCCAGCACCCCCAGTCTGGGCCCAGCTCCACCACTGCTCCCCAAACTGGAGGAAACTGGTCAGCTGCCACATTTAACCCTATCTCCTCTGCCTCCCCCTGGTATGGCCCCATGTGAGCAGCAGGGCCAGGGCAGCTGCTGTGCCCGGCTGGCCCTGGGGAGGCTGCTGGATCTGCCTGGATCCGGCGCCTGGCTCCTGCTTCCATAATTTATAAGGCAGGTTGGGTTTCGCACTGGCAGCTGGGAGGGGGCTTGGAGGAGGAGACTGTGCACACACACACTCACTCACACTCACACTCATTCACACTCACACCCTCATCACACCCTGCCCAGAGGGTGTCAAATGCAGGAGAAGGTGCTGGAGGGGCCAGTGACTGCAGGGATGCGCAGATCCACGGCCTCATCTGGGTGACACATCTTTTCCCCATAGACTGAGGAACTGGTGGTCCTTCCTGCCACAATCCCTTGCCCCCTCCAGCAGTGCCCTGTCCCCCGTGATGCCTCGTCCCCATGGGGTTTTCCCAGGGAATTGCCAGCCAGCAGCAGCCCGGGAGCAGTGGGTGGTGGTCCAACGCTTGGGGACACGCTCTGTACCCAGAGTGGGCCCAGTACCAGCAGGGCTGGCAGGCACAGGCAGGCAGTGGGGCCCCAGATGGTCCCTGTTGTCCCCTTGGTCCTGGCACAGCCCCATTGTCACTAGCCCCTGCCAGCTCCAGGCCCAAGGGGGGACACGTTGTCATGTCCCCTTATCCCGGGGACATTTTCATGCCTGTAAAGAGACTGGAAAAGTCCCTGGGCATGTGGCGTCTCCATGCACACACTCTCAGTGGAAGGGACACAGCTGGGGTGCCACCAGCCCAGAGGGTACCCACACCCACAGCCTGGGGTGCCTGATGGGGAGTGCCTGGTCACCCCACTTCACCCTGTGTCACCATCACAGACCTCCTGAGCTTCCCTGCTCCCCGGGACTGTCCCTCCTGCGTGCCAGGAGGGTGTTGATGGGTGTCCCCATGCTCAGGCCAGGCCAGAAGCCGAGAGCCAAGTGACAAGGCTCCCCCAGCGCTCCTCCACCTTCCCACCCCACCACCCTCTGGATGCTGGAGGTTCTCACCCAGCCTGTCCCCATGGCGACGGGACCCTGGGCTGAGCATCCCCTGTCCAGCCGGAGCACCCCCGGTCCGGCCGGGCCCCCGGTGCCGGGGCTGGACCGCAGTGCGCCGGGGGCCCGTCGCCGCAGCAACCGCCGTCGCCTAGCGCCGCTGTCTCCCGGTAACCCGTCGCTTAGCAATGGGGGATTTTCACAGCTCGGGATGAAGAGTTGAAAGTTATTTTTAGCCCGGGCTGCGAATCAATAGGCAGCTCCATTCGCCGCCCCGCAGGATGCACGCGCAGGGGCCCGGCGGTGGCGGCGGGGACGGGGGGATGATGGGGGAGAGGGGTGGTCTGTCCAGCCTGGGGTCACCACCCCGGCACGGCCCACAGGGCCCCCATGGGCTCAGCCCCCTTTGTGCTGACTCCAGGGCTCAGAGCCCCTGGCTCTTCCCCGCCAAGGGTCTGAGCCCCCAGGGCTCCCCCCTCCAGCCCGTGTGCAGGTGAGGGTGGGTGAGGACACAGAGACTCTCAGGCTTCTGTTGGGACCATAGGGGATGATCACACTGATGTGGGGATCATTAGCTGCTGTGGAAACCCTAATCTTACCATGGAGACCCTCTTCTCACTGTGAGGGCCCTCACCTTACTGTGGGGACCCTCAAACAGCCATGGAGGACCCTCATCCAGCTGTTGGGAGCCTCATCCTTCCATGGGAAACTTCTGCCACCAGTGTGGACCTCCACCTTGTCATGGAGACCACTGCCTTGTCATTGGGGCCCTCTCCTTGGCATGAGGACACCAGCTTTGACATGTGGACCCTCTCCTTGCCTTGGGGATCCCCACCTTGCCATGGGGACCCCTCCCTCACAAAGGGGACCCCTACCTTGCCATGGGGACCCTTGTCCTGCTTTGGCGACCCTCATCTGTGGTTCCCCTCCAGACAACTTCCCTGAGCTCCCCAAGTCTCTCCAGGGCTTGTTCCCACTCCTGGGGCACCAGCCTGGGGGTCTGGATGCTCAGGGGCATTGAGAGGGGACAGAGCCTGTTCAGCACTCGGGTTCCATGGGGAAGGGCTCAGGTTCTCCCTGCATGTCCCCAGGGAAGGGCTGGGAGTTGAGATGAGGCTCCTGAGCTATTTTTTAAAGATGAGGTGGGTGCCTCCCACAGCCGCATCTCCTTTGGGTGCTCGGCTGGGCGGGAGAGCTCCCCACGCAGCCGGGGGGGACGGGCAGTGGGATGGGGAGAGGCTGAGCACCCCTAGCCTCTGAGCAGCCCTCCAAGGTCCCAGCCCCCCCCGAGTGCCCCTTTTGCCTTTCCAGAAGGGTTTTTGCCCCTGGGCACAGTCCATCCTGGAGCATCCCTGTCCTTGCCATCACCCACCTGTGGCACAGAGTGGAGGGTGCCCAGAGCCACCCCATAGAGACCCTTCATGACAGCGTGGATGTCCCAGGGACCTGTCAGGGGCCCGGGGGTTGCTGGATGGTGGCTGTCCAGGAAAGGAGAAACCTTGGGGTGACCCAGCAGGAAGAGGATGATCACCAAAAAAAAAGGAGGAGCCAGGGTCCCTCCTGCATGGAGCCCAGAGGTGTTCTGGGGTGGCAGATAGGTCTGGGGCAGAGCAGACCTGGATCGGTCACAGCAGGTCCAGAAGGGACACAGAAATGCTCAGAGGGCTGGAAGAAACTCTCCTGTGGGGAAAGGCTGGGAGAGCTGGGTATGTCCAGCCTGGAGAAGACCTTCAGGCATCCTGGAAATACTTGAAGGGGCTTGGAACAGAGATGAAGAGAGGCTTAGTGCCAGAACCTGTAGAGACAGGAGAAGGGGTGAGAATTTTAATTGGAAGGGAGCGGATTTAGATTGGATATAAGGAGGAAACACGTTGCAGGGGAGGCAGTGAGAAGCTGGAGGAGCTGTGGGTCCCCACCGGGCTGGAGCAGCCCGGGCCGGCGGGAATGTCTCTGCCCAGGGCAGAGGTAGGACCAGGTGGTCTTTGAAGGTCCTCTGGACGACTCGATGCTCTGCTTCTCTGCGGGAGGTGGTTTTCCCCCGCCCCTCTCAAGTCCCCCGGGGTCCACTGGGGTCCCCCCCCCGGGGGTGGCGATTCGCGGCCACCGTGCCCGCGGTCACCAGAGGGCACTGCGAGCCCGAGCATCACGGAGACACCCGAGGGGACCGGGGCCAAAAGGGGGCCCGGAGCGGCCCGAGAGCCGCCACAGGGGTCGGAGGCTTTGGGGAGCTCTCGGGGGGCGGCCGGCACCCAGGGCCCCCCAAGTTCTCCCAGTGCCACGGGGACAATCCCCCCTGTGGCAACCAGGGACAAAGGGGACACGGCAAGGTGCTGGGGACAGAGTCAGGGGGCACGGCCACAGGCCAGAGCTCCAGGCACGGCTGGCATCCCCGTGGGTGCCCAGAGATGCTCAGCCCCATCAGCTGGTCCGGAGATCTGAGGCAATAGCGGGGGGGGCTTTGCCCGGTCCCAGCTCAGCCCCAGCTCTGGTGGGTGTTCCAAAGGGGCTCCTGACCCCCTCCCCCCCCGATTGCCATGCCCCAAATGCAGGGGTGGCCCATGCCATGTGGAGGGAAGCCAGGATTGGTGGCCACGGTGGTTTGGTCAGGCTGGTGCCGAGGTTTAACCAGCAACACCCAGTTAAGGTGGGTCGGGGGCCGTTGGGGGTCCGGGGTGCAGACCCACCCCTGGGTGCTGGCATTAGGGCAGACACTGCCATGCGCCTGTGGCAACAGTGGCACCCACCTCCAGCCTCAAACACCCGTGTCCCACCTCCCTGCATGCTGGGGTGTCCCAAGGGAACATCCCCCGAGGGTGCTGAGCACCCACCCGGGTGGGGGATCGGTATCGATGGGTTGAGGCCCCTGTCTGGGGACTGCAGTGCCTCACATCTCACCCCTGGTGCCACCTCATCTCTGGTGTCACCCCACCTCTGGCACCACCTCACCACTGGTGCCACATCACCCCTGGGCACCTGGCCGAAGCCATTTGTGGGTCCCTGGTTGTATTCCCTGCCCAGCTCCAAGTCCAGCTCCCCCCACGGTGACACCGGCTTGGCCCCGGGACCGTGTCCCCCCATTCCGGGGTCACTGTGACCCTCCGGGGCACAGCCAGACCCTCGACCCAGCCACCCTCTAGCAAACTCTATAAGGCAACTGAT